CAGACAGGCTGTAATCTGGCTCCAACTGGCGACACCACTTGCTTATGGTAAACCCTGCCTTTTGCACACCAAAGGATAGACAGCACCTTACCCACTAAATTTGTGTGCTATTTCAAACCAAGGTGATAGGCTGGTTTAAACAGCCATTACAAACTGTAACCTCATTGGCTACCTGTGTGTGGTCTGGTATGACTGTACAATCCTTTGTGTGTGTTACCATCCCATTGGTCACCTGAGGCTCAACCTCATGGATTTTGCCTTGAAAAACCAAAGCATGGGGGCGCTCCCAGTTGCAGTGTCAGCTCTCAAGCCTGTGCTGCTGCCCTGACTAGTCAGTGTAGGAACCTTCTCAATAAAGTTGCTTCTTTGTTAACAGCTTTGTTGCGGTGGGCTCTGTCACTCCGGACGACTCAGGTGGGCTTGCCTGCCTGAGGAGGGGTCTTCCCACTACAAGAACCTACTCACTCTAAAGAAAAATCACTTTCTCTGGGCACAGAAGAAAAACACACCTCCTTTTGGTAAGTTCTGGCTCTCTGCTTCTCAGACACATAAATGATTTCAAAAGCTAAAACAAGCCTCCAGCCAGTTTTGCAGTTCTAGAGCCAGGGAGCATCTATTTAAAATGTCAACATAGAGGAAGGGGGGGATATCCCCGGGAGGGGAGGACCCCTGACTTAGGGATAATGCCTCACTCATAAAATTATGAGTTAATTTTCCTTTGGAGAGGGCGGCCTGGTGAGTGTAGGATGCGCTGCGTGTGCCTTGAGGACCAGCCCGGTTACGAGGCACGCCTGCAACGTGTTCCTGCCGGGTTCCTGCCGCCTGTGACCGGCACAGGGTCCTTTGGGCTGGCCATCTCAGCAGGTTGTCGAGACGTCATCACATTCTTCTAATGCTTATTCAGAAACCTCCTTTCTCTTTCTCAATACCTTCACCTTCCCAAAGCAGCAGGGTGTGAAGTAGATTTGATTTTCAATTACTTCCCCTCTGGGGATCCATCCGGTCCTCCCACTGTGTTTTCTGGGCAGCTGAAGCCTGCTGGGGGCAGCAGAAAGAGGAAGTACCGCCCACCTGGGAGGCTCGACTGCCCCCTGGGGCTCCTCTCTCCTCCAGGCCCAATTATGTGGCCTCCAGCATTCACTCTCCCTGCCGGGTGTTACCCTAACCGCTCAGGCCAATATCCTAGCTACCCTGGAGGCTGAGATCTGAGGATCATTGTTGAAAGCCTGCCAGGGCAGGAAAGTCTGAGACTCTTCAATTAAGCACCTCCACCACCACCCCAAAAACAACCAGAAGTGGAGCTGTGGCTCCTATGGTAGAGTGTTCAAGCATAGAAAAAACTAAGATCACACCTAGGCCCTGAGTTCAGGCCTAGGACCAAGGGGGGGTGGGGCACAGAGACGAGCTCCTCTGAAGTCCACAGTCTGAGGCCTATGGGAGCACAGGCCAAGGGCCCTGGGGCCACAAACGTGGAGCAAGGACAGAGGCCAAGACAGCATCTGCAACACACCTAACCCAAGACAACACCAGAGTCGTGTTTGCCTTCCTGGCTCCCAACAGCTGTTAAGACCCAGAGTCTCCTCAGGTAACAGGCAGGCTTTGATTCCTGCTAACCTACCCAGAGCAGTGATGCTGTAGCATCCCCCACCCCCACCCCCAGCCTGGCTGTAGGAAGAGAAGTGTACATGGAAGGCAGGGATGAGCTAAGACGTAAGGAGGACAGAAATGGAGAACAGGCCCTGTCTTCCAGGATCCACGTCCAGCTGTGTGATGATCTGATCGGAAGTGCAGACACTCAAAAGTTAAATAGCTGGAACTAGAAACACTCATCTCCCCCTTGACGGCCACATTCTGAAGAAATGCCAGAACTGCCCTGGCTGCCAACCTGGCTGAATCAGCTCCCCTCCCCTAACATACTCTGTGCCTGTAAAGAGCCAGCCTGTGACCAAGGGCCGTATTGGGTGTCGATGGATCTGGGAACACAGATGCTATTCAAATCCCCTATCTTGTGACTCAAGATAAGATTGCTGGGCTGGGAAGGTGACTCAGTGGTAGAGTGCTTGCCTCATGCATTCAAAGAAAGCACTCTACCACTGAGCAACCTTCCCAGTCCAGAGTACTAGCCTTGAGCAAAAAGCTCAGGGACAATGCCCAGGCCCTGAGTTCAAGCCCCAGTATTGGCAAAAAAAAAAAAAAAAATTCTCTCCCACCTCATCTCCATCTTTGCACATAGAGCCCCTTCCCCTGCTCCCATCCTGCACTTCCCCAGGTGAAACGAACCACCCCTGACCTCTGCCCACCTGACTTCACTTTTCTGCCTGATAAAGGGGGACCTTAGATATGGGGGAGACTTTCCCTTCAGCCCACCTGAAGACTTGGTACCCTTCCCAGGTTTTCATTCTGAATAAGAAACTGTTGGTCTGTTCACCTGCCAGCTACTTTTCTTTGCTCATCCTCCTGATATAGAAATATTTTCCTACAGACACGCCCTGGGGGAGCCGGGCCCAGGACAGCCTCCGCGCATGGACAGCCCTTCCAGGTCCTGCACACCACCCGAGCCTCTCACCAAGCGCCTCTCTTATTGCCCTGGCTCTGCTGTGCCATTTGGATCGTCCCTCCTCACCCCCTTCCTGAAGTGTTGTCTAGCAGACAAAGAAACTCAGGAAGCAAGGGATCCGGCTCCCTGCAAACTCATCCCCAGCAGGACACAGGTGCTAAGCAAATGAACTCCTCCCCTCCTCCTCCCCCCCCCCCATCCAGTCTTCACACTGAAGATAGCCTAGTTTACCAGCAGGGCCCTAACCCCAGCCCTGACACCCCTCTTCACAGCCTACAAGTACTGTATCTCTTTAAGAAAAGGTACATACATGACTTACTGAGGAGGCACTGGTGGCCAAGACAAAAATAAACTATCAGAACCTCAGTTTCGGAAATTTGACTTTTATACCCCCAGAATCATTTAAGTCCAAATACATTTAATTTAACATCCAGCTTCTCAATCTGGCCACATTTAAATGCTCAACAGCCACGTGTGCTAGCACTCCTGTAATGGATGGTGGTCATCCATGTCTTCCTGGAGGTAAATTCCAGGAAGCCAGGGACCTTGGCTGGCCGGATCTGAGGTGCAAGAGTTGCTCAGTACATGCTGAACTGATCGGTTAAGTGAGCCGTGGACTCTGAAGGGGTCACTGCTCTTGTTCCTTTTTCTCTGTCACTAACAACAAATGCCCCAGGAGGAACCAATTTTCTGTGCCTAGGAAAGGATTTTCGGTTGGTAGCAGTGCTAGTTCCACTTTAAATAGATGACCAAAAGCATATGGGAAACCAATATAAACACCAAGTGCACACACAAACACACCCAGCTTCAACTGTATCCAAACCGGCTAAATTCATGAAAACGTCAGAGCTGCAGAAATGCAGATTCGGCACAAGGGAACACCTAAACCAGCTGCACAGCAGCCCCAGCCATCACTGAACCTTCCTAACCCCCAGCTTTTCCTTTGGAATTTGGAGAACACTAAGGAGCTATGCCGGTGGGCAGAGCTTCAGCCACAGCCTGGCTGGCAGAGCTGGCCATTTCTAACCTCCAGGTGATCCCAGCCCAACCAGGAGAGCCTCTCCCCATCCCCAGCCACCAGGCATGCCTGGATCCTTCCAGATGGCTTCACTGTGCCGTCACATCACCCACTCTGCATCTCTAACCCTTCACGCCCCTCCCTGACCCAGCATGCAAGCAGATCACAGCCAGGGAGCTCCACCTGCAAGACTTTAATGCCAACATCCCTTAGAGGCCCTGTCTGGGCTGAGGTCTTATCTCTCACTTAGATAATTCTAACAATTTTATGGCTTATCTTCCTCTTCAATCCATCTGCCACCAAAGACCCAAACCAATTTTTCTGAAGTTGAAACTTGGACATAGTACTCTCTTACATACTCGTCACACTGATTTGGCTAAAAAATGTCTCGATAAGACCTTTCAAAATCTGGCCACCTCTCCCCCATGCACCTCAAAGCAATATGAAGTTTCAGAACCCAGGACAAAACGTGAAAGGGCCTTGTCCAACTTGTCCTTTCTCAGACCAGATCAGGGATCACTTTGCCCAGAACACCTTTTTGGAGACAGCGGACTGTTCAAAAGTCCCTGCCCGGGTACCAGACTCTGGCATAGCAAGCCACTACAAACATGGTTGTAAAGGGAAGATGAATAAAAAAATGTCAGTCCACAACACATTAGAAGCATGGAATCACGGAACCTTGGAAGTGAAAGGAAGCAAAGCCATGTAGTCTGGTCATGATGTACATGAGTGAGGAACTCAAGAACGTCGAGGGTGGAACCCGGATTGCCCCTGGTCTCCAAACCTGAGCCATGAACACTCAGCCTCGGGGACCCCAGTCTGGATTCCACCTTGCTCCACCGGCTCCCCTCTACTTCCCACCCCCTTTTCAGAGAAAGAAGCCCCGCCTGGCCTCATCCACCCGATCAAGACCTGGAGGAGTGTCCCCATCCCCACACACACTGTAGTAACTTTGGGGCGCTTCCCTCTCCTGGTTAACCTCCCATCCTTCTCCCAGCTCATGAAATCACACCTTTATTGACCACCTACTATACACCCCTCTGCAGCCAGCCCTGGTGGCCCTGCCCCCCAAAGCCGGGCGGACCCCGGGTGGCGTAACGGGGCCGCGCGCGGGCGACCCTCCTCCCCTTCCGGGTGACCCCCATCCTCCCTCCCTGGCCTCGCAGCCCCGGCCGCCCCTGCCCCCGCCCCCGCCCCCGGCCGGGGTCGCTCCCGCTGCAGGTGTGGTGGGCGGAGAAAGTTTGGGGCCCGGGCTCGCCCGGGGCGCGCAGGGCTCGGGCACCCGCCCGTCTCTCGCTCCAGCCCGGAGCAGGGGGGCGGCGCGGGACTGCGGCGCCGGGCACCGGGCCATCCTCGCCCGTCCCCTCCCCTCCCCTCCCCGAACGCGCAGGGCCCAGGAGGGAGGGGGCGGGGATAAATAAATACCTTTGACTTTGTAGCTAAGGTTAACGGAACGGCCGCCCCAGGGGCGCCTCGGGCACCGGGCTCCCCGCCCTGGCCAGTCCCGGGGCAGGCGGGGCGGGCGCGTGGGCCTGATTGGCTGGCAGGCCCGGCTGTCCGCCGAGCCGCCGGGCCGTCGGATTGGCTGCGTGACTCAGATGACCCGCTTGGCCCAATCAGATAAGCCCGCGGGGCGGCTCCTTTGTTCTCTCGAGCCAATAGCCGGAGTGGGGGGGTGACCTCTCCGCGCGGGCTCGCGTCCCGGCGCGGTGAAAGCGGGGCGCTGCCGGCTGTCCGGGTGCTGGGATGCGGGCTGCCGGTAGTGGCCGCCCGGGGAGCCCTCCGGGCCACCCTCGGTCTGACTCTCGAGGCCTCTGTGAGCGCGGAAGCGTCCGAGCCTGATGCGCGCGTGCAGGCCGGGTGGTTGATTCTGCGAGTCTGCAGCGCGCCCCCGCGTGCCAGCCCCTGCGGGTACTGGGAGGCCGGGGCCCGACCGGGTGCCCGCCCGGAGCGGCCCTCCGCGCGCACGTCTGTGCAGGAGCTTGGCCGACCGTGGGCACCGCTCCGCACTGGGAATCCTCGCGGTTGCAAATCGCTTTGTTACTGTTATCTTTCCGTGGGAAACTGCCGTGGCTGTAAACTGCTCGTTCTCTTTGGCCCTCCGAGGGTGACCGGTATCCTCCGGGTCTGCGACTGCTCCCCACCGGCACCCCCTCCCAAGCCAAGCCCGGCTATCAGAACACCAGGAATTGTATAGTCGGGACTCGGAGACTCCGGAGCGCGGGCTCCACCGAGTCGCCACTGCTCCCAGTGTTTCGCTGGGTTTCTCCACGCTCGGTTCGTTTTTTCGGGATCACGCCTACCTGGGTGTGGTCCTTCCCCGTCACCTTTCCCCACCAGCCCCGCTGGCCGCAACGCAGGGGCTGGTGACAGAGGTCTTTGAACCTCTCTAGAAGAAACCTTGGGAACCAGGGCATTCCGCTCCATGGGTTCTAGCTGAGGAGTTTAAGTTGCCTGGTCTACGTTCAATGCGAATTCAAGAAATCCTCGCCAGCAGCGCAGCCTGATCCAGAAAGACAAGAGTGCTGGCTTCCCAGAGACCTCCGGAAAAGGGGGTTTTCTCTCCTACCCCCTGACAGGAAGGAAGTTCCTCACTTCTGCCTCAAGGGTCACAGCCGGTGGGCTGGCACTGGCAGGATTCTCTCCAGAGCTGCTTAGAAACTGCCTTTGTGTGGGGACCAGGGGCACTTGCCTGTCATCCTAGCTACTCTCAGGAGGCTAAGACTTGAGGATGTGGATTCAAAGCCAACCCAAGCAGACAAATCGATGAGACTATTACCTTCATTAACCACCAAAAGCTGAGCATGCCAGGCTTAAGCAAAAAAGCCAGTGAAATCATGGCCTGAGTTCAAGCCCCCAGTGCCAGCAACCCCTCCCCAAAAAGGCTACATATTACTAGCCCTCAACTCTTTATGGTCTCCTTTGTATGGTTCTTCACTGTTTATGTCAGTCCTGGGCCTAGAACTCGGGGCCTAGGCTCTGTCCCTGAGCTTTTTTGCTCAAGGTAGGCACTCTACCACTTAAGCCACAGCTCCACTTCCAGCTTTTTAATAGTTAATTGGAGTTGAGAGTCTCACAGACTTTGCCAAGGCTGGCTTTGAGCCATGATCCTCAGATCTCAGCCTCCTGAGTAGCTAGGATCACAGATACTGGTGTCTAGCTTCACGTGGTTATTTAGTACGTGGAGAATGCTCTGCAACAGCTTGCAGAATTCATTCTTGCTTCAGAAACCAGCGTTGCAATTCTAAGTGTGCCATGGGCTGCATACTTCACTGTCTGCCTTTATTTCCTCCGCTATAGCCTGAAAGACTTTCTCTGGGCTGACAACCCCATGACTGGAAAAGTCAGGGGTGAGCAAAGCATGTTATTAAACAGAAAGAGGGAGGTTGCACCTGTGTGTTTGAAAATTTACAGAGCAACAAAAACAGTGACCTGAAAAGATAATTCCCACGAATTCTTTTTTTTTGTAATTCCTCCAAGAATTCTTTTACTGAATAAAGAGAAAGGACCTGAGAGGAGAGAAAAGGAAATTAAGGGACTTTCACAATAAAATACATGTGTGTGTGTGTGTGTGTGTGTGTGTACATTGTTCAATGTTTTCAAAAAAAATTTTTTGGGGGGGTCCGGTCGTGGAGCCTGAACTCTGGGCCTGGGTGCTGTCCCTCAGCTCTTCAGCTCAAGGCTAGCCCTCTACCACTTGAGCCACAGCGCCACTTCCGGCTTTTTTCTTTTTGCTTATGTGATGCTGAGGAATTGAACCCAGGGCCTCAGGCATGTAAGGCAAGCGCTCTACCACTGAGCCACCCTCCCAGCCCCTCAAAATTAATACTTGGTAACTAGCTGGGCGCCGGTGGCTCATGCCTGTAATCCTAGCTAGTCAGGAGGCTAAGATGTGAGGATCACAGTTCAAAGTCAGCCCAGAGGGCTGGGATGGTGGCTCAGTGGTAGAATTCTTGCCTTCCATGCATGAGGCCCTGGTTCGATTCCTCAGCACCATATATGCAGAAAAAGCTGGAAGTGGCACTGTGGTTCAAGTAGTAGAGTGCTAGCCTTGAGCTGAAGAGCTGAGGGACAGTGCCCAGGCCCAGAGTTCAGGCCCCATGACCAGCAAAAACAAAATCAGCCCAAGCAGGGAAGCCCATGAAATTCTTATCTCCAATTAATCACAGAAAAAGCTGTAAGTGATGCTATAGCTCAAGTGATAGAGTGCTAGCAAAAGGAGCTGAGGGACTACGCCCAGGCCCAGAAAACAAAACAAAAAAAAAAGTGCTGCACCTGCTGGCAGAGCTCTGCATCTTCCCCCTTGAAGTCCGTCAGGATGAACCACTGAGTGAGGACTTGAACATCTCAGGAAGGAACCAGTGGCAATTTCAGACCATCTCTGCTTTTTTTTTTTTTTTTTTTTGGTCAGTCGTGAGGCTTGAACTCTGGCCTTCTGGGTTTAGGCGCTGTCCCTGCGCTCTTCAGCTCAAGGCGATCTCTCTACTGCTTGAGCCACAGTGCCACTTCCAGTTTTCTAGTGGTTAATTGGAGATAAGAGTCTCATGGACTTTTCTGCCGGGCTGGCTTTGAACCATGATCCTCAGATCTCAGCATCCTGAGTGGCTAGGATCCCAGGCATAAGCCACTAGTGCCAGGCTACATTTTTTTTTCCTTAGGGCCAAGATACCTACACTCCCTCTGCTAACCCAGATGCCTCAGGAACTGTCTCCTTCCCATCCTTCCTCTCAGAAATCTACTTGCTCTTTGTTAGATCAATTTCCTTCCATGGAAGATGAGATCTCCCTCAAAGAGAATAGATGTGAGCTGGGCTTTCTTGACACCATGTCCTCTGCCCCAGGCTCTAACAGGCAATTTGCCTTTGCCTACACGGATATTAAGTAATCCCATAACCTTATAAGCCAATAGGAGTCCTTGAAGCTGCTGGAATCCATCCCACACTGAGCCCCACCCACTCTTCATTTTTTTTTATACTTACATTCATCTCCAGATTTAGGTCATAGAGAGAAAGCAGTCCTTTTTTTTTCTTTTTTTCTTTTTCTTTTGGTGGGTTGTGGGGCTTGAACTCTGGGCTTGGGCGCTGTCCCTGCACTATTCAGCTCAAGGCGAGCACTCTACTGCTAGAGCCACAGCATCACTTCCGGTTTGCTAGTAGTTTTTATTGGAAATAAGTCTCGTGGACTTTCCTGCCCAGGCTGGCTTTGAACCGTGATCCTCAGATCTCAGCTTCCTGAGCTAGGATTACAGGCGTGAGCCACCGGCACCTGGCTGAAAGCAGTCTATCAGTCACCATTTTGTACTTTTCTATTACTTGTATCTCCTGAGATTGTGTGCTCCTTGACTTTCAACTAACTGTAACTGTCAGCCATGTCAAAGGTGTGAGTCCTTATCAACAGGGTTAAAAGAACAAACACTATATTCTTTCTAGCTTCCTTAAATCACCCCACCAGGGCTGGGAAGGTGGCTCAGTGGTAGTACATGAGGCCCTGGGTTCTATTCCTCAGCACCACATAAGCAAAAAGAAAAAAGCTGGAAGTGGCGCTGTGGCTCAAGTGGTAGAGTGCTAGCCTTGAGCTGAAGAGCTGAGGGACAGCACCCAGGCCCAGAGTTCAGGCCCCACGACCAGATCCCCCCCCCAAAAAAAATCACCCACCACTCTGATCGATGATCACAAACAGAATGTGAGATGGACTCCTACTGGAGAGGAGGAACAGCACATCTTGTGTCAGGATAGGACAGAAACCCAGTGGGCCGCCCCATGCCTGCTTGACTGTGGGTACAGTGGCTATACACCCTTCTGCGCATGTCACTTGCCTTGTCTCCTTTGTCTCTTGTGTGTCTATTTTCTGACACTGTAGGCTGTTAATACAGCCAGCGATAAGGGTAGAGACTGCGTCTTATTATTTAATAACACATCCATCCTCCAGTTTCCATCACAATGTCAAGCACACACAGGTGCTTACTATCTACCTGAACCAAAATCATCAGTACACAAAACCTACCCCATACACAAGAAGGAAAAAGAGAGAAAGAAGGAAGGGAGGGGGAGGGGGAGAGAGAGAGAGCGCACAGCATACAGTGGTAGGCAAGAATGAAGAGTGGAGGAGCCGGACAGGCTGGGCTGGGCTGAGCCTCTGGTGATTACCTGTTACTCATAAATGTTTTCCTATTCAAAATAAGAGTAAGAACACTTACCACACAGAAATCAGGTGAGGTAGTGCAGAGCCCTGCAAGGTGCCATCCATAAACAACTTGTGGTTATTTTTATGCAGTGCTCTGTGCTGGGTGTGAGATCAACGCAGAGATGACTAACATAGGCAAAAAATAAGAATAAAAAATAAGCCCACTGATGCCTGACAAAAACAGGCACTCTAATTTGTATGAACCCAAGTGGAGGGAAGAAGACCATGGGTGAGGGTTCTCCAAGCTGGCCAGGGAGGCCCTGAAGGTCCTTCTTTCCCTTCTGGGCCTCTGGCACCTGGTTAAATCTGGCCTGACCCTGTGAGCCGTGCCAAGTGTGTGTGGCATGAGAGGTGAGTGGCATCTTTGCAGCTCAGAACTGCCTCCTCTCCTGAGACTCCCTTTGCAGCTGTTAGCAGTCTCGAGGACCCTCCAAATGGCTCTCAAGTGGTAGTAAAGAAGGCCATGGCGGCCCTCATCTGCCCTTCAAGGCAGAATGACAAGGACCGAAGCCTCTGGTTCCAAGATGAGTATTCCACGCAACATAGAGCTCTGGAGCCTTCACCCACCACCCTGAGAATTAGCCCTGCTTGGGCTGGGAAGGTGGCTCAGTGGTAGAGTGCTTGTCTTGCATGCATGAGGCCCTGGGTTCGATTCCTCAGCACCACATAAGCAGAAAAAGCCAGAAGTGGCGCTGTGACAAGTGGTAGAACGCTAGCCTTGAGCTGAAGAGCTGAGGGACAGCACCCAGGCCCAGAGTTCAGACCCCACAGCCAAAAAAAAAAGAATTAGCCCTGCTTGCAGGATATGCCGGTCCCTTCCAGGGAAGGGCTGGAGCAAGTCTATACAGATACTGCTGCTATCCAGGACACCCCACTCCCAACCTACTCCCCCCCTCCATCTCCACAGTCCTCAACAAAGGGCACTCCCAAGCCACCACTTCTAAAACCAAATCTTTATTCTCTAGTTTGAAAAGGAAGGTGAGTGGTTGTTCAGTTCTGATCCAGAGACAAAACAAGGCCCAGTGGGTAGAAATCACAGGAAAGCAGAATTCGATCATTATTAAGGGAGAATTTCTAACAATTATAATCATCCTACAATAGAACCAGGTGCTCAAGAGGTGACGCTACCTGTCAACCCAAGAGCTTGGTTGGTTGGAAGCTGGCATCAAACCACTGAACCATGGAATGGAAACTCACCCAGGCCCTGCCGAAAGACACACCGAGCCGGAGGGAGCGCAGAGGGGCTGGGGCTTCGGGGAAAGCAGCCAGGGAAGTGCTCAGCACAGGGACAGACCTTAGCTAAAGCCAGACCAGACCAAGGAGGAGAGGATCGGGCTTCGGGAGCACGCGTGGGATCACTGGCTTGCATACCACAATCAGTAGCTGGGTCTCTTTGCAGGGACACCTAGGAAGGCGGCAGCGAGGAGGGGGAGCGGTAAGGGCGGCTCCGGCTCCCCGGCCCCGCGGCCTTTGTGGGCAGCAGGTTTCCCCCACGTGTCCCCAGCCCGTCCAGGTTCCCTCCCCAACCGTTCATTTCCTAAGGACTCTACCCCACCCACCTACTTCCAAAAGTGACCTGAAGTAACTCCTAGTAAAGACTGGGACATTAAGGCGTTAACACCAGAGGACGGAGAGGCTCCCTTCCGGCTGGCGGCTCCTCTAGCCGAGGGCTCTAAGGGTACATAGAGCTGCTATTGCTACTTTTCCGGGGCGCAGGGCCGATCGTGGGGACCCTCAGAAGCCCCCGCGGCGGGCAGGCCCGGCCGCGCCCGCCGGTCCGCTCAGACGTCGTGCTTCTTCTGGTGGGCCAGGAGCCGCTCCTCGTCGTCGAAGGTCTGGCCGCAGATGGCGCAGCAGAAGGCGCCGTCGCGGATGTGGCTCTTGCGGTGGGTGATGAGGTTGGACTTCTGGCTGAAGCTGCGGTCGCAGTCGGGGCAGGCGTAGGGCCGCTCGCCGGTGTGGATGCGCCGGTGCGACACCAGGTTGGACTTCTGGCTGAAGGCCTTGCCGCAGTCGGGGCAGGCGTAGGGCCGCTCGCCGGTGTGGATGCGCCGGTGCGCGGCCAGGTAGGGCTTGTGGCGGAAGGCCTTGCCGCAGTCGGGGCACACGAAGGGGCGCTCAGGCGCGTGGTCCCGCCGGTGCGCCGCCAGGTGGCTGCCCTGGGAGAAGCGGCGGCCGCACTGCTCGCAGGCGAAGGGCCGCTCGCCCGAGTGCACTGCTCTTTGTTAGATCAATTTCCTTCCATGGAAGATGAGATCTCCCTCAAAGAGAATAGATGTGAGCTGGGCTTTCTTGACACCATGTCCTCTGC